GACAAAGCCACTGAGTCCGGTAGTGCGATGGCCCAAGAACAAATTGGCTGGCTCAACATGCATGTACGTAGCCCAAGTAGTCTTACCTTGGGCTGCTTCGATTGGTTCAGCTACTTGTTGTATTTAATTTGCTTTCGTCACTTGCGTCGATCTGGTTAAGACGACGGCACGTTGTTGGTTTTCTTTTTACAGCATGTTGTCCATTTGCAGCCATGCTTGCAGGTTGCCTGCTGTCATATCAACTACTCCAACCATTTGTCCTGTCTCTTCCCCTCCCGTAATTTGAGTTCCCCATAAACTCCAAATGCACCACCAAGGCCGCCATGGCTGAGCCTTGTCCATACTCCAACTCTTAACAAGAAATCCACAATCGAAATCGTCATTACCTCCTCCCCTCTCTCCTTGTGTGCAAACCACGTCACAAATGGTGGCCAGATTTGCCTCAACGATGAAGTAGTTGTTGATGTGGAGATGTCATGTAGAAACTTAAATTAGTTTTCATATGATTTGGAGCATGTTTCTCCTGGTTGATAAAGAGCTCGATGTAGATCTACATCAACAGTACAAGGACGTGGGTCGAGAGCCACCTAAAGCCTTGCCTAATAGAACGGTTGGTGTGTTTGCTGCTAGGAAAAAATGTGGTCAGGCACCTAGGCATGTCACCTCCCTATTTATATATATATATATATGCATTGCGGGTTCAATGGTTAATTGAAACCTAGTTGGCTTAGGGTTTTGCCGCCCACCACAGCAAATGAGTTATCTAATACAATAGGCACTATATGGTGGACCTGACATTATGTTATCCTGTATGTAATCACATTCCAACATATATGTTCCCATTTTATGCAACTCAATTACTTCATGAGTTTATACTTAGAAAGTTCAAGCAAATCCATTTTGCGGGAAGAAAACATAAGGAACAATGAACATTTGCATATATATATATATATATATATATATATATATATATATATATATATATATATATATATATATATATATATATATATATATATATATAGATAGATAGATAGATAGATAGATAGATAAATAGATAGATAGATTATATTAGACATATGAGTATGAGTCATCTTCGCTATGCCGAGCTAAAACAACATTTTGTTTGACTTACAAAGAAAAGTTCTTCTGGATAGTATACATTGCTCAGGAGATTAAATTAAAGCCCAACAAGCCCAACGTGAAGGAAACGACACATCAAACGGGTCATATAATTTGGTTTCCTGCCACTAGTTTTCGGTGTATTGTTGGCCTGTCGCTGTTTGCCGGCCGGCCGACCATACAAAGCTGATAGCAACCCCAGCAGTTTAGTAAACCCCAGCAGAAACTCATCATGCCCACTTTATAAAACCTAGCATTGTGTTTAGTCTGACTTCATGCGTGGCATGCTCATCCACGCCTCCTCCATAAATAGCGCAGAACCACGAAGCCATCCTCAGCGCCTCTCTTCAGACCTGATCTCAGAAGTACTTATCGTTTCCAGTTCGATCAGCGACGTTAGTTGCAAGCTGTCATGGCGTCCGCTGCTTTTACTGTCAAGACGGCCGCCGTCATCATGCTGCTGCTGGTGCTGACCATGGGCCAGCTGCTAATGGCTAGTAGTGCGTCGCCGCAGCCTCGGAGGTTGCTTGCGGAGGAGGGGCGCGAGGTGCCCGGGAAACAGTGCCAGCCCCGGAGAGGTGATAGAGGTGCGACGGGTGAGGGCTCAGGGGAGGGAGGGGGCTAGGCCCATGTACACTGTAGACCCCAGCCCTATAGTCCGATGGCATTTGATAGGCAGCCTGAGACGTTCAGGATCAGGAGCGCCGAGCGCTTGCTTCCCCCATCCGCGAGTCTACTACGTACGCGAGCGCCCTAGGCGAAGAGTCACAGTTTCAAGGAGTCACGGAGAGTCGGAGACGGAGCCGCGCCGCGCCACCGCTGGCAACCGCGGAGAGCCGGAAACACGGAAACGACGCACTCACAGGCTCGACTCGACGACGACGCGATCAGGCGGATCAGCCAGTTTATCAATCATCACTTCATCAGTTCATCAGCTGATTAGGCCCTAGCACCTAGGTATTTTTTTTTCCCATGATCGTTTTTTAATCCAAATTAATATTTCAGATTTCTAGTACTCGTACTCATATAGTCATGTTTTTCTTTTAATTTAGGTGTTAGAATCTTAGAATGTTACCTAAGAAACACTTGTCGGGATCTCAGAAAAGAAAACGGAAAAAACTAGAAGATAAATTTATTGAATCTTATAAAGGTGCTATACATAAGTGGACATTACTGATCTCAATATCGTTCTTTGATGATTCTGCATCAAGAAGTGCCCGAAGAAGTATCTTTTTATGAGAAGTAATGGATATTATGGAGCTCTATTCTTCCATGTGGTAATCATTTTAGTTTTAGAAGTACAAATATACTATTGTTTTAGTTTACTTTTTTTTACGGTCACCGGGGGAGTTTTCGCCACCTGAATTTTATTTGGCGCTCGTGGCCCGCGATAATATTTACATGATGTTTACATTTTGAGAGAAATGGAGTTTACAGGCCACTCCTGGGCCATTTTAGTTTACATTGTTTCTCGATAATTATCAAACATGTTAAATTAAAAATATATTACTGCATTTGTTTTCGCTTTACAACAAAAATTATCGTCTATATATTATAAAATTTTATATGTGGCGGCCATCACGACGACTTCGTCAGGTGGCCCTCAAAATTCTAGGACTGGTGCTGCCAGGAAACCGGCCTCCCTGCCGGTGCTCCCTGCCGATGCTGCTGCTGCAGTAGAGAATAGACTTGGCGATCCCTGCCCACCTGGCTGCTTTCCCCTTCCTTCTTATCCCCCGATCTGTCTCTGCAAACCAGCTGGTTTGTTCGCTGGCCGCTAGATCTCTTCCGGCTGTGCGTGCCCTGTGTGGTTTGGCTGCGACGATGGCCCAAGAATAAATTGGCTGAACATTCAAGTACGTAGCCCAAGTAGTCTTGCTTGGGCTTCGATTGGTTTAGGTGCTTGTTGTATTTAATTTGCTTTCGTGACTTGCGTCGATCTGTTTAAGACGACGTTGCTGGTTTTGATTTTTCAGTATCTTGTGCATTTGCAGCCATGCGTGGTTACCTGCTGTCAGGTGTGTACCAACTGTATGTTAATATCGTCTGTTTTAAATAAATAAATAAATAAAAGCTGCTTCCATGTGGCTGCAAAAGCCGGCTTAGCTCAGTTCATAGTTTTGGCTCAGCTCAGCCTTTCAAACACTCCGAGCTGAATCTCATTTTTATGAGACTGCCGATGGGCTCATTAAGCTCGACAAACATGACCCTACACCAAACTCTAGTTTTTTTTCCCCCATAAATACCACTGCTGGAAACTGGAATTCCCTATCGGTACGGCCTCCACCAACAGAAAAAATACGAATCGTCCTGACAGTGCGTGGTAACCGACACAAATATAACCGAACCAATAGGAACAAAGATGATTTTTTTTTTCTATCGGTATGAATATTTCTTTCTCGGGTATTTTATAGACACAGGAAAATTACCTAAAAACTTAGGCTGCCAAGTTCTGCAGCTGAATGGATCGAGCATGCACGCGAAAAACGTCTTGAAACCCACATCCTGCGCTAGGCAAAGGGCACCCACAATGCTATAATACGGTTACTAGCTCTAAGTCAACCTCTCCAATAGTGTTAGCTTTTAGAAATGTATCATAGTATGATTAGGCTCACATGAAACTCTCGCATAATCTTGAAATATTTGTATGAGCCTAGCTCTTATTAAGAGCTGGTTTTTCTCTCTCTATTATTAAAATATAAAAAAATGCTTAAAACTAGCTTATGAGTCAGCCATTGCGGGTGCCCTAAGGATTGTGTCCAAGAAAAGCAGTGGGCCAGACAATAAAAAGGAGAAAAAAGCACTCCGCAAAAAAAAAAAAACTCTTAAGGGTTTGTTTGCATGTTCATGTATTCACCTCAATCTATATGATTGAGGTGATTAAATGCATGTCCAAACAAGGCCTGAAAAATATCCCAGGCTCTCCCCATGAAGGACCGAAACGACAACTAAAGGGGGGCGTGAATGGGAGGGAGCCTCAAATTTATTTTTCTAAATAATTGGCCGCTGTCCCAAGATCACCGCCAAACACTCGAAGCATACACCCTGATGTCCACGACCCAAAAAGTGGGTAAATGTTTCCTAGAAAATTGAGGACACCACAAAGCAAACGGACTGAGAAGCACTCACACCGAATCGAGGAACCGAAAATAGGATACTCAACTCCTATTGAGAAGAAGCGAGTTCCTAAATCTAAAATACCCAAGCCAACTGGTCAAAAGAGTACCCAGATATATTTCTTAGATCAATGGGAATCCAATGCAAAAGACGGAACTCAATTCGAAGATCAAACGCACAAGATACGGGGAAACAACTACAGAGCCGAAAATTCTAGACTTGGCCTACAAGGGTCTCTATTTTGTTGGCTTAATATTAAGACAATACTCTCTCTATTTTAAGTTATAAGACATGTTGGCTTTTATAGATTGATAGCTTTTGCTATGCACTTACATGTATACTATGTCTAGTTGTACAATAAAGACAATGTATCCAGAAAAACCAAAATGCTTTATAATTTGGAATGGAATTAGTATATGACATATTAATATAGGAGAACAATTCTCAGCCGAACTAGGCTTATTAGATCCAAAATGGAATGAGTACTATCATGCCGATAAGGTTGATCCTAATACGGTTGCCCCTAAATCTGTGGTGAGAGCAGTACAATTTTCTTAAACTGTGCCAATCAATTTTCAAGCAATCTGCACTTGTTCCTCCAAATCGAGAAATCACTACTGCTAAAGGCTTTCAATGGGACAGGATCACTGCAGGCTTACAAATCATCCATCTAAGTTTAGTAAACATGAGAGCAAGGGTGGGGCGGCCGGGAGCTCACCGGTCGGCCACTCGTTTCGCTTGGGACCTTTTTGGCCACCACCATGCAAGAACCGTCACGAATCATGAGCCAAGAGACCGACGGGGAGGTTGCCGGCGTTGCCAACAGCCATGACGACAAGGACCACGTCCATGGCACTATCGGACGCCGGGCCGATGCCGATTCGGAGGAAGAAGACAACGAAGAGCATGGTGGTGGCCAGGAGCCATTCTTTCAGTGCCTTGATCAGGAGCAACAACCCCCCGACACTCTGCATTTGCACGACGCCAGGGTCGAATTTCCCTCCGACGACGACAGTGACGGTGACGAAGTCCGCTTCTCCTTCGCCACCGCCGACGGTGACCACCTCCTCGAGGAGCAGGCGGAGCTGGACCTGGACGTGGAAGAGGAGGAAGAGGACACGTCCAGGTATGACTACGGCACGTGGATGGCGCCGGAGCCCGTGTCCATCCAGGAGCGCCGCCGCCGGCTGCTCCAGGGGATGGGGCTCACCAGCAGCAAGGACCTCCTCCGGAGCCGGAACGCGAGGGCGAGGCTTCCGCCTGACATCCCCCGCTACGTGCCCCGGCGAAAACAGCAGCCGCCCGCGGCCGTTGCCGAAGCGCCGAACACAACGAGCGCCGCGCCGGTGGTGGCCGCGGCCCTTCCCGAGATCGCGGAACACCAGCGCAACGCCGTCCTGACCCGATCATGCTCCGATAGCCGCCTCGCCATCCTCGGAGGCGCCGCGAGGAAGCCGTCGTCATTCTGCCGCGTGTGCTCGCTGCCGCACAGGCTGCAAGGCTCGCCGGTCCACAAGGCTCTCCGCGCGGCTGCCCTGTGTCCGTTACCATCAGCGCCGTCAAAGGACGGAGGAACTGGCAATGCCATTGCTGGCGACACGGGCGGTGGCTTCAAGCACCCGGGCAACGGCAAGGAAATCGTGGCGAACGGCCAGTTGAACGATGCCCAGCGCAGTGCGCCGCTGAACATCGACGAGCTCCAGCGGTTCATCACCCACACGGCGTTCGTGACGCAGCCCGTGCGCCGCAGTCAGAGCCAGCCGGTGCCGGCGGCCGGGGCGGCCAAGGGCGACGAGAAACCAGTCGAGAAGAGGAGAACGCGGTGGCTCAGGAACATCAAGCTCGTCGCGTCTGCCGCCGGGATCAGAACCGACAAGGAGAAGCAGGACGGCAACGGCGGCGGCGGCGGCGGCAGCAGACCGGCACGGACGCCTTCGGTGACCATGTCCAAGTCGGCGTCGGCCCACGCCGCCGTGTCGTCGGCCGCCACGGGGCCCGAGCGGCTCAAGGTGCACCACTACGGCAAGTCCAGCAGGGAGCTGACCGGGCTGTACATGCGGCAGGAGGTGCGCGCGCACGAGGGCTCGATATGGAGCATCAAGTTCAGCCCCGACGGCCGATTCCTCGCCAGCGGCGGCGAGGACAGTGTGGTGCGCGTCTGGGAGGTCTTGAACGTGGACGCCTCCTCGTCCGCCGTGGCGCAGGAGCTCTCCACCTCCCTGCCTCCGCAGCCGCCGCCTGCATCCACGGACGGCAGGTCGGCGGCGGCGGCGCCGGGGCTGGCGGCGCAGTTGTCCAGGAGAGTGAGGAGGGGGAGGAGCAGCAAGGACGTGCTCCCGGAGCACGTCGTCGTTCCGGAGTCCGTGTTCACGCTCGCCGAGCAGCCGTCGTGCGCCTTGGAAGGCCACCAAGACGACGTGCTCGACCTGTCGTGGTCCAAGTCCCAGGTTTGCACGCCGTTGCACTCTGCCTGCCATTGTTTCCGCGATTGTTGCTGCTCCGTAAAAAGAGAGCGTGACGTGCGTGCCGTGGGCGCCATCGTTGGTTGCAGCAGCTGCTGTCGTCGTCCATGGACCACACGGTGCGGCTCTGGGACGTGGTCACCAAGACGTGCCTGAGGGTGTTCCCGCACAGTGACTACGGTGAGTTTGCTAGCCTGCACTTGTCTGCAGGTTGTGTTTGCATAGCGACTGATCTTGATTGTGCGCGCCATGAACGCCGCAGTTACCTGCGTGCAGTTCAACCCGGTGGACGATGGCTATTTCATCAGCGGCTCGCTGGACTGCAAGGTGCGCATCTGGAGCGTGCCGGACCGGCAGGTCGTCGACTGGAGCGACCTCAACGACATGGTCACCGCGGCGTGCTACACCCCGGACGGCCAAGTGCGTTGCCTTGCCTATGCATTATACTCAGTTACTCACTTATTATTGCACCAAACTACAAAAGCAAATTCCAAAATGTTCATGTCACTGATATATAGCTGACAGTTTTCGCCTTTTCTAGGCTGCGATTATTGGGTCGCACAAGGGGAGCTGCCGATTCTACAGGACAACAGGTGCGTGCAGAATTCAGATTCATTCAGTCCTGTGCTGAACTGCTGACAAGTAACTATCATTTCCATGTCAGATTGCAAGCTTAACCAAGAGGCACAAATCGACATGAGCATAACAAAGAAACGCAGATCGCAGGCCAAAAAGATCACAGGATTCCATGTATGTCCATTACTGTTACTTGATTGATTCCACGAGCTCACCTGTAATAGTTCCATTATCTATAAAAAAAACAAAGTTGCATTGGTTGTGTAGTTTGCGCCGGGGAACCCGTCAGAGATCTTGGTGACATCGGCGGACTCGCAGATCCGGGTGTTCAACGGCATCAGCGTCCTCCAGAAATTCAAAGGTACGCGGCCATGGCGGCGAGCGCACGCCCCAGCCTTCCCTTGCACGCATCAAGGACGCCATGCACGAACTCCGCAACCCAAAAAGGGAACCCGTGTTTCTTCCTGCCAGGCTTCAAGAACACCAGCAGCCAGATCTCGGCGTCCTACACCGCCGACGGCCGCTACGTGGTGTGCGCCAGCGAGGACTCCAACGTCTACGTGTGGCGCCGTGTCCCCGGCAGCGTCAGCGGCGTTGGCGGCGGCGGAACGGGCGGCGGCGGCGGCGGCGCCAGCATCAGCGTGAGGGCCAAGACGTGGCTCACCAGCCGCTCCTACGAGTACTTCTTCTGCCGGGACGTGTCCGTGGCCGTGCCGTGGCCCGGGTCGCCGCCGTCCTTCCCGCCGTGCGACGCGTCCCGGAACGGCAAGAGCGATACGCCCAGGAAGCAGCAGAGCTCGTCGCGCCATGACGACGTCGTGGGCGGCGCCGGCGGCTGCGTACCACGGGGGACCAAGTCCGGGCCGATGGCGTACCACGGTGGGGGCGGGCAGCTGCTGCGGCCAGAGCTGTCCCGTCGTGAGTCGCAGTCCTCCGCGCGGTGGCACGGCGGCGCGGAGGGCGGCAATGCGTGGGGGATGGTGTTGGTGACCGCGAGCCGTGGCGGCGAGATCCGTGTGTACCAGAACTTCGGGCTGCCTTTGGCCAACCTCTTCCACTGATGAACTGATATACAAGAAGAAATTTTAGGAAAAGATATACGAGATGAATAGAAGTGTGGTACAAATGTGATCACAAATGTTATGTATCAATCAGTGCCATGACGAGCAGACGCCACGAGCTTTTTGTGTAAAGCTAGTTGGGGTTTTCCTTAGTTCTGAAAATAGGTCGTGGGTAGAACTGCATCGTTGATCTACTGACTCCTGCAGAGAAGGCAACTCATGGTGTAGACAAGATAAAACGTCGAAAGATCTCTGCGATAATTCGCCTGCTGGACTGCTGCCTAATCTGGTAAATTCTCAGATTCATTCATATATAGTATTGAGCAACAATTTGCAAGAGCTGAGAAGTTAACAAATCCTATCTGTTTTTTTTTCCATACAAGGACATCGTGTAGACAGACGGCTGTCATTGCTAATGGAGTTCAGAGGAACAATCAAGATATATACTCTGGTAGTAAATAAAATGGATCAAAGCATAACTACTGTGATATTTATCTTTGATTAAGTAAAATATTCATCGAAGATTTCCAGTTCCATTTGAATCCACTTGGGCGGGTATAAAATGACTCTTTGTGGATGATGTGCGACTGTGTGAGCCAATTTATCAAGGAAAAAGAAAAAAGGGGAAAAAAACTGGCAGCTAGGGGCCTGTTCGGCAGGACTGAAAAATACTGTTTCGGCTGATTGTTGTGAGAAGAAAATACTGTTCTAGCAGGACGTGAATAGTGATTTTATGAGGTGGCTGGTCAACCGATAATCAGCCAGCCAGCCAGCCAGCCGAACACGGCCTAGAGAACCGGCCTTCACTGCTGGCATATACTACTGTTCAGAACTGGTAGTAATGCTCCATCTATAACCAGTACAACAGCTCCGCCCAGATCAATCATTGGCTCACGAGGAATTAGTAATGATGCTGGATATGTCACTGCAGACTGTAGCTGCAACTGATATATCTGTATTATAAAATGCAAAAAAAAAAAGTGTCACCTAATAGATTTCTAACCACATTATCTCTTATATCCCATAGATGTTCTTTGGAAAACAGATCTAATGCGTATAAAGCTTCTATCCAGCAGAGACCATTCCTTGGCAGTGGTTCTAGATATTTTTTGAAAGGTCACGGGGATGAATTATCTTGGCCCACCTGAATTTCGTACCATAGATTATATATGGCAAGAGCTGGTAACGGTAGTTATATTATTATAGGTCACGAATCCAGAGTCACAAAAGTAAAAAGGTGAGAAAAAGAGCACCAACAACACCACACTGCCAAGAAATGGTAATGGTTGTCCCTGTGGCTGTTGGTAATGGTTGTTTACCTTTGTGGTGTTAGTGGTTCTAAATATTGCTGCAGCGTAACGAGGAAATAAGAGAGACCATTCATTCAACATGCTTTCAGTTCAAAATCGTCGGCATGAAGATTTTTCCTAATGATGCATGGAAAATTAATAACAGACTCTGGTTTCTTTATATTTTTCATATAATTATGTAACATCTTTGTTCCCCTTCGGCTTCATCTAGATATAGCTGAAACATTTTAGTGTAGTAAAAAATGGGTTGTGTGCTTAAGCAAGCACATGTCATAGACAATTCGTGAAACACAGAGACGCCCGTGTCGCCTCCCGCACGGGCGGCTCAGGCGGCAAAACCCTAGACGCCGCCGCTGCTACTCCATCCCTCCCTTGCCATCACCACTGCTAGACAGAGCGGCCGGGAGGCCCACACGGCTCCCTATGATGGCGGCGGCGAGTCTCCTTGCCTAGCTCGGCCGCGAGCCCCTCCGTGCAGGAGACGTGCTTGGCGGCCGGGGTGGCAACACGGCTTGGAGCGGGCATCGCAGGCTGCTGCATCGCACCATCTCTGTTAGAGTGCGTAACGGAATCCGGACCGACTCGCTACACCACGAGCCCGTGCCCCTCGGGCCTAGGTCCACCGGAGCCCACAACATACCAAGGCCTTGGACCTAACTCAACCCAAAAGACTTGCCTTATAGGTGAGGACTGCCCATGTCTTATATGTTGTGCTCCCCCACCATCAATTACCGATGTGGGATTAAACCTAACAATCTCCCCTGTCACACATCAGACCCAACTCTTCACATCACACAACCCCGTGCAATCTACAGAAGACGTTATCCAGGCCCCGAGTCCAACGCTCCATATCACACACAATTCATGTGACCTCCGAGACGTTAACAGGCTCCCCCGTCACCATGTGACCCCTGAGATCTTCCTAGTTTTTTCCAACCTGGCTCCGATACCACTTGTTAGAGTGCACAACAGAATCCGACCCGACTCGCTACACCACGAGCCAGTGGTCCTCGGGCCTAGGTCCATCGGAGCCTACAACATACCAAGGCCTTGGGCCTAACTCAACTCAAAAGACTAGCCTTATACGTGAGGACTGCCCATGCCTTATATGTTGTGCTCCCCCACCATCAATTATAGATGTGGGACTAAACCTAACAATCGTCCACACCCCACCCCTCCATCTCTAACCTCGTTGTCGCTTGAGCAGGTGTGGCGGCGGTTGGCACATACCCCCTCCTCCTCCTCATCTCCGACAAGTTCCGACGGCCGGTTCCGTCTCCCTCCCCATCACTCCTCCTCCTCTACCCCCTCCACACTCTTCTCTAGCGATGATCGTCAGCGATCGGATGGATCCGTGCTCCCTAGGGCGGTGGTGTCGTCCGGGCGACCTAAGGCGTCTCCAGGGCCGCACGCCCCTGGATCAGCAGCCAACTGGCCGGATCTAGGTCCCTAGTGGCCTAATCTACCTCCTCGACTATTGGCCGTGGTTAGCCTACCCCAACGCAGGGAGTGCCTATGGCCTCTGCTGGGGTCCATGACATTCGGGGTCAGCGAACGGCTGGGTGTTGGCTGTTGACGATCACTAACACCCGTTTTGACCATCAACATTTCACCCAAAAGTATAGAAAAGTAAGGTAAATCATCATCACATGTGTAGAATTTTATTAATAATTCACCTAGTTCCACTTGTGCTTATAGAATTATTTGTATGCAGAAAATATGGTAAAATTTGGCTAAAAAGGTGACAAACATGGACCAAGGAAGCAAATGGACGTGATAGGAGGCCTTGTGCCCACTTGTGCCCACCAACCGACCCCACATGGGCACCGCCCCACCCCCAAGTGGCCCTGCCATGTCATTGATCTGTGGGAGCTGCTCCAGAGCCAATCACAAGCTTCCATTCAAGTCAGTTTGATCAACGGACAAGATTTGTTCATGGTGGATTCATGGGCCCATTGTCATAGACTTGGGAGCTCTCCACCGACTTACCTGCCAAGTTTCACCACGTGCTGGCTTCACAATCGCCTTGAAGGAGCAACCAGCACCCTTGGATGCAAAGGCGGTGCATCCAAGGTCCGGCCCACGCCCTACTGCCGCCGGCCGGCGCCCTACTTAGTCATTAGTGTTTATTTTAGTACTTTATTCTAGTATTATTGCTTTGCTTTACTTTAAGTACTTAGTCATTAGTGTTCATCATTAGTGAGCTTAGGTGCTTGTTGTTTGGCATTAGTAGCATAGGCTATCTTATAATTAGTAGTTTTTTGTTAGTACTGGTTCCACCGTCTGGTTAGGGTGCTTTGATCTTATTTCATCGGAGCTCGGATCGAAGTAGTAAGCCAGTAGATTAAGCGTGATGCTTAGGCTATAGATTACTTGTGGATACGGCTAGGCCTCCGGATAGATTGTGGTAGGTGGCAAGTGGTGACTGCCTTATCCATCCTCTGTATTCTACCAAGATAGGTCTAGTTATTAACTCTCCTAGTTGGTAGGCGGGCTGTGCCTTGAAGTACTATCGCATTTCTCCTAGTCATTTGTTTACCCTTAGTTACTAGAAAGATAAAACGCTCGCTCTCCCACCTAGCTATCTCTAGGTTAGCTTGTTAGTAGTAGTTAGTTTAGATACTTCACATTCACCCTTCACTATCATTCACCTACCTAGGATCAACCTTAGCCTTACCTTAGCACATCCTAGTCCAATTATAAATTCTAGCCTTCCGCCTTCTTGTGGGAAAAATATAAATTCGACACTCGGTACTCACCGAGCGAAGTGCTACACGATAGTTCTGTGCGCTTACGAAATCCTCCAATAGTCGTTAAGAAATAGCAACACTGGCTAGCTCCGGAATGCGTCTACCGGGTCCACGACTTGTGCACCTACTAGCTCACGGCAATGGTGGACGGCCTCCCTAACCGGCTGGTGGACGGAGCTATGGTCAGGCACCACTACGGCCAAGGAAGGGGCGGCAACGGCCTCACAGCATGACGATGATTGGTAGCTAGGCTAGCGACTGGTGACAGTGGCAACCACCTTCTTCGGCATCGATCCAATGACTTGGTGTTGTGGCTCCTGCCCAATGCTGGTGGAGCTTAGATCCAACCCTTCTGGTCTTGATCTGGTTCTTCGCTGGTTGTTCTCATGTTGTCACGGGCGGATCCACACATGTGCGTTGAGTGTGGGAGCGATGCGTCTGACTTGATTGCTGCGGGCTTCGGTGGTCTACGAGCGTGACAACGTACAGCTGCAGTGGACCACGGGAGCGTGTCCTTGGCCACGTAGTCAGGGCTGTGTGTGGTTGTGGCGGGCACAAGTGTGGGGCCACCATCATGGGTGAGTTCAGGAATGACCCCGCGTGGTGTGGTGGCGGCCAGCACCCCTCCATCTAGGTGCTGATGGCTACTAGCACACGCCTCCCGCTGTCGTGGGCGAGTTTGACAGTGGTTCCATGCAGTGTAGCAATGACCAGCACCCACCCTCTGTCCAGGCACGCACACTTGCCAGTGTGTGCAATGTGGCGGTGACCGAAACACTCCTCCATCCATGCATAGATGCCTATCGGTGCGCACCTCCCACCATCGCTGGCGAGTCCAACAATGGCTCCACGCTGTGTGGTGGCGACCGGCACCCCCCTTCATCTAGGCGTAGACGCTTGCCAGTGTGTGCCTCCCACCATCGTCGATGAGTCAGGGAAC